ATCCAACTTCAGCTCAATGGGTGATGACAGTAGTACCTTTTTCACAGGGTCATTGTGAGGACTAAATTAGCTAATACATGCAAAGAGCTTCAAACAGTGCCTGGCACGTAGTTAGTGGCCTGCCTGAGTGCTGACAAGGCGGGTTCAGAGAGGAAAAGGGACCTACGCAGGCCACAGGACACAGGGACAGAGGCCATCTGAGGCCCTCGACTCCCAGTCCCGCCCCGCCCTCTCCTCTCCCACCCACAGCCCTCTGCAGCTCACCAACAGCAGACCGACAGCCGGCCCCCACCTGACCACACCCCCATCCCCGCAGTTCTCCCCACCCCCTCGGCGGATGCTCTGTGGGGAATTCTTTCTCTCAGGCTCTGAGGAATGTTATTTTCTCTTCACTGGGTGTCTAGATTACTCCATTTCAATCCAGCTTCCAAACAGCCTCCAAGATGAGTGCTGATTAAATTCCCATAAAACCACAGGCAGAAATGCTCAATCGGTGGTGTGCACCCCCTTCCCCAGGGAGGCCTGGCAGCCGACGGCCATCTGTCACCTCCAGAGCACAAGTGTGGGAGGTTCTGGGAGAACCACCCCTCACCCACAGCCGTCATCAGCTCAGAGGGCCTCTCAGCCCTTTGTCCTGTGGCCTCAGACCTTTCACCAGCCACTGCCCCTGGCCAGGGAGACAAACCCGCATCATCCAATCGCGGCCCAGCTTCCTCACACATGGCTTCGGCCAGTTCAGGAGCAGGCTAGAGCCTTCCCAGAATCGTCCGGCCAGGGGTGGCAGAGACAGGCCCTGGTCTGGGGGTTTCCATCTCAAAATCTCGGCACCGCGGGGCAAAGCAGGCACTGGTGGGAGAAAGGGCCTGCAAACGTGTGTGTGGCAATCGTGGCTCATCGACACAGCCTCCCGCCCCACCCTGCCCCCGTGCCTGCGCCAGGCAGTGTTTAATTTCTGGGCGGCTCCTGCACCCGGTTTGAATTGGATCCAGCTTCAGCGCCATCTGTGCCTCTGGGTGCAGCCCTGCCCAGAAGCAGTCACCTACTAGGGAAACCTGGGGCCCAGGTGCTCTGGGGTGGGTCACTCTCCCAGCCTACTGACCTCATGCTATAGTGAGCTGCTGTGTGGAGTGGACTTGCTGCTGAGGTCACAGGCTGAGGCCACACCGCCTGGCCAGCCGGAGGGGGAATGGTCATTCTAAGAGTCGTTCACCCATGGAGTCCCCAGGCAGGAACCCATTTCTCAGAAGGTGTGGTGGCAAACCGCTAGTTGTCCCTTAAAACTCATTCTCCCCTTTCTTCTATGGTGACAAAGCTCCCAAACTTTAGTTGGGCCCATGGCTGCCCAAAATAAAGACCACATCCCACGACTCCCTTGCAGCTCAGTATGTGACTCAGTTCTGGCCCCATGGGAACAGAGCATCATGTTCTAGCTTCCAGAACCTTTCTTTAAAAGACAACCTGGGCTGTTTCCCTTTGCTTCCTCTTTCTTAGTCCCCCTCGCCACTCTAATGTCTAGATCTTGGATGTGACGGCTGGAGTTTTAGCCACCACCTTGGACCAGGAGGGGCCACACCACAGAACAATGAGCGGGAAGTAGCCTGGGTCCGTGCCATCGCACAACAGTAGCAGGTGGCCTTCCTCTGGGCTTGTACATGAGAGAGAAACAAAGTTCCATCTCATTTAAGCCACTATTACCTCAGGTCTCTGTTGTTGCAGTAACTTGAGTGCTAACCGAATTGGCGGGTTTGAGACTGACGGGTCTGAGGCGGGGGCAAGGACCCTGACTCCTCCAGGCTCTGAATTAGAAGGCGAGCTCTAGGAACATGGAGCTAAGGTGGTATCAACCGCCTGGAAGCTTCCCAGGGACTCAGACAGGGGAGGCTGGGAGCTCCAGGCAGCGGTCTCCCCTGTCTTCCACAGCTGACGCTCTGCATGGAGACAGAAGCCCATCTGAGTGTGGACTCCCCCCAAACCCCATCCAAGTGCTCCGCCTCTCATTCCTGGGAGACCTCCCCATGTGCTACAGCCCACCTACCCACCCCCCAATGCAGAGCGGAGAGCCTTGGCCCTCTCCTGCAGCAGCCTCCCCCTGCTCTGTCTTCTCTACAGCCGCCCAGGCTCTCTGAGGCCAGGACAGCCGCCTAGGCATGGGGGGTGCTGACAACTTGAGGAAGTCCTCCCTTCTCCCAACACAAAAGCAGTTGGGCTGCTATAATTGTCTGAGGAACTTAAACGGTAATTATGGCCATTTACAGTACGTCTAACAGGGCTGTGTGCCTCCAGGAATAGCAGGAGTGGGGTGCAGGAGCGCCAGGGATGCACTCCCCACAGAAGGCTCTCTGCATCTGCATGGGGGAGGAGGCCTGGCCTCTGCAGGGAGCATGGAGAGGGAGCCAGCAGAGACCAGCCAGCAGTGCTTCTGCGCGAACAGCCCCCGGGTGGGCAGGAAAAGGCTCCAGGAAGCCCCAGCCTCTGACCGCCCTCCTAGAAGAACACCAGCCTGGCTCAGCATGCACGATAAGGAAAATCCAGGGAGCAGCGGTCACGGCCCACCCACACAACAATTCCTGTGGCCTGGGACCAAGCCCGCCTCTAGGGTTCAGTCAACAAGTTCTTGCCGGGCCCAGGGGGGACATCCCCCTGGCAGGGAGCTCCTGAGCTAACGACCCCTGGGATTAAGGTTTCTCGGCCCCAGCAGAGTGTCTGTCTGACTGTCTCCCCCCGTGGGGCCGGTCACCAGTCCCTCACGCCTGAGGCTGGGTGTGGGTCCTTCTCACAACAGGATACAGGTAACGGACACCAAAACCTGTCCCCAGGCCACATCTGCACTGATCTAAATGGAGTCCCATCCTTACTCGTCAGCTCACACACCTTCAACGGCTGCCCACGAACCAAGTACCCCCCTGCACGAGATGTTGGGGTCCCCACTCTGACCCGACAGTCTGCAAGTCCTGCATAAGCACCCCACGCTGCAGCTCTCTCCCTGCTTGGCCCACACCGCTGCCCTCACTCCCTCAGTGCTCGCCCACCAGGCACGGCCCTGCTGCCTGTGCACACGGCAGTCCTGACTGTGCCATGCACACTCACACTCCAGCCTGGGCTCACCCTTGACACCAAGCCCTGAGTCCCTGCCCATGAAAAGCAAGACAGACTCCAGGCCAATCCAGATGCCTCGGCCCCTTCCGTCTTAACAGGAGCAGTGGCAGCAGGTGGCACTCCTGGGTGACCCCATGGGCCAGGACCCGTGCTAAGTGCTCATCAGACATCATCCCAGGACCCTGTGGGTAAACCACTTATTATCCACATCTTACAGAAACAGGCAGGGCAAGGTCAAGTGACTTGGCCAAGACCGCACAGCCAGCCAGAGCCCAGACTCAGACAGAACCTCAGCCTGTCTCCCCTAGAACCCTGTGCTCTTTGCCCGGAAGAAGCCCTCTCAGCAGCACCCTCCCTAATCCCATCAGAACGCATCACTCTCCCGCTGGACTTGTCCAGGACGTGAGACACGGCTGCTGACCTGCACCTCCTCCCACTAACCCAGCCTCTCATCTTTTAATACGATGGCCTGTCCCTTCCCACACAGTCAGTGTCCAACACACACCTCCTGGGAAGAGACCGATTTCCCCTCTACTCCAGACCCAAGGAAGCAAGGATGCCGGTGTGTCCTCTTGGGGCAACCAAGGACGTCACGTCCGTGCTCAACACTACCTGGTGGATGCCAGGCACCCGGGGAAAGAGGCCTTGAGACCCCTTCCAGGACGACTAGGCCCAGCACCCAGCTCTTCCCGCAGGGCATGTTCCTTATAGAACCAAGGATTCACCAATTCTCTCAGCCAGGGTCCGTGGCTGCCGCATCCAGGGTCCATTACTAGATCCAGGGGCCTCTGGCCATGGACATGAAAGGTAAGCCTAGGGGTTAGGAGCTGCAGAGCCTGAGCCGGAGAGACCTGGCTGGACGCTGGCTCTGCCACTTACAGGCTGTGTGATGCTGGCACCTCTGCTAACCTCTCAGAGCCTGCGGTACTCAACCTGATGCCAGGTACCTAGAATGTACCCAGTAAATGCCGCTCTCATCATGCTCATGCTGGTCCCCTTGCAAACAGGCTGCCTCTAGTCCTGTGAGCTAAACTCCCCACTGATCCCAACATCACATGAAATGACGCCTCGGGTCAAGTCTCCATCTAGGTCAGGGTTCAAGGCCACCCCTTTAGGCCACACGCATGGTCTGGATGGCAGGAGCAGGAGCTGCCTCTCCTGCCCCTAAGATTAATCCTCGTGCAGCCCCAGTGCCCAGGCAAAGCACTTCTCCTTAAAATAAAACCAGAGCTCTCAGCAGGGAACGCATGGACCAGGCAAAGAGAACTAGGAGGTGACGGGAGGTGAATCTTTCTAGAAGCCCTTCTCACACAAACACACACCTTGGAAAGGCAGTCTGCCTTCTCCAGCCTGCCCTGCCCGGGAGGTGGGGAGGACGAGTCCTCAGGGACGGGAGCCTGCAGCTGGCAGGAGAGGCTCCCGCAGCTCAGAGGGAGGCTCCGCCCTCCAGCACGGAGCATACCCCGAGAGGCCCTGCTGCCACATGACATATCTCCACGGGTGTGATTAAAGGCCCTTTCACTTCTGTTTGTCTCCTTCACTCGGTTACATAACTCCACTGGCACGCCTGCTGCTGAGTATCCCACACACGCTCCTGCTCCCTAACCACTGTGTTCGGGACACTTCATCACCACTCCGGGGCTTTGACTCAACAAAACTGTCTCAAAGTGCTTGGAGCCACTCTATCTCCCGAGGAGCACCCGGAGGTTTTTCCTTTCTAACTCTGCTGGTCACAGAGGGACGAAAGGCCCTCCTCAGCATGTCTGCCCCCAGAAATTCAACTGCTTCCTGTCCCAGAGTGCTTAAGAAGACCAGACCCCCCGCCCCCGGCCCCCTGCGATGACCGCCTTGTGACTGCAGAGCTGGGCCGCCTGCCGCAGGTGCTGAGCCACCTGTGTCCCTACCTTTCATGTAGGCTTCGATCTTCCGGATGAGCTCGTAGGACTTGGAACGGTCCAGCAGGGTCCTGATGGCAGGAAGGGGGTCCAGGACAATGGTCTCAGGGTGGGCGTCGATGTATTCCTGGAAGGAAAACAAAACCCTTCTGGTCAGAGAGGGGAGGCCGATGCCGAAAGGAGGGTTACAAGCAAGATTTCACCCAGCGAGCCCTCCCTCCCCACGTCCATCCCTCTCTTCTCCTCCCCCCACCAGCCCTCACCTCTCCTCCCCTCACCAGCCCTCACTTCTGTCTGGGGCATCACAGGGTCACCGGAAGCCGCCTCCACTCACTCTGCCCCACTGGGATCACATGAATTTGGTTAGACCAATCAGTGCATTCCACTTCCCAGGGCTGCTGGCTCAGGAGAGGACAAGTGACCCCAGTCGGTCCAATCAGAGGCAGGCTCAGAGCCCTTGCTGGGAATGCTGGGACAACACTCTCTCCCTCACTGAGAAGAGGGAGCATGGAGACTGGGCCGCTGGGAGCAGTCACCCTTGGATCTGAAGAAGAGGCCTGACGGAGCCAAAACTCAGACATGGGGCCCAAACTGAGAAAACAGAGCCGAGAAAAGGAGAGCAACCGGGTTCTGGTCAGCTCATTTGACTCCTGGATAAAGCCTCACCTGAACCAGATCTGCTCCACGTGTGGATTACACTGTGAGACAGGCCCAGAGCCCTGCACTGATAAGGACTCTGAGGCAGGGCCAGGGGAGAGTGGAATGCTGGGATTCATGACGCAGTCTGCTGGAAGGTGTCGTGGTGAGAAACACACCCCATGGAGCAGCCACCCGGCCCTCGAGTGCTCACTTCAAGTGCTCACTCAATACCTACTAACTTCATAGTAGACTACAGAAATGCAAGAGAAACTGACATAATCAGTCTTCACGGAAATTACAATCTTCTCAGGGAAATAACACTAACTCACATGGGAACAAGAAACTTTATAACAGAATTCAACAAAAGACAAAGCAAAATGTTTCTTTCTTTTTTTGGTTTCTTCTGAGGAAGATCAGCCCTGAGCTAACATCGTGCTAATCCTCCTCTTTTTGCTGAGGAAGACCGGCTCTGAGCTAACATCTATTGCCAATCCTCCTCCTTTTTTTTCCCCAAAGCCCCAGTAGATAGTCGTATGTCATAGTCGCGCATCCTTCCAGTTGCTGTATGTGGGACGCGGCCTCAGCATGGCTGGAGAAGCGGTGCGTCAGTGCGCGCCCGGGATCCGAACCCAGGCCGCCAGCAGCGGAGCGCGCACACTTAACTGCTAAGCCACCGGGCCGGCCCCAAAATGTTTCTAAGAAAAGAACACAAGGATCCTGGCCCTGCCGCCTGCCACCTCTGTGACTACAGGAGCCCCAAGCCACATCAGTGGGCCAGAGCAGCTTGCTGGACAGATAGAGTAAATGAGACCATCCCTCTGGCCCTAAAACTCTACGATTCTAAGAACAAAAATGTGGAATGGTGGGGTAACAAGAGAGGGGCTCAGAGAGAAGGTTGGGGGTAAGGGCGGCCATTCACCAGCTGTTATTGTAGGTGGAATTGTGTCCCCCTCAATAAATCTGTTCAAGTCCTAACCCCTGATACCTGTGAACCTGACTTTATTTGGAAACAGTGTCTACATTTGTAATCAAGTTAAGATGGGGTCATATTGGATTAGGGTGGACCTGAGTCCATTGACTAGTGTCTTTAAGATGAGGAAAACTTGGACATGGAAACACACAGGGAGAAGGCCACATGGAGATGGAGGCAGCGACTAAAGTCAGGGAGCTACAAGGCAAGGATGGGCAAGGACTACTGGCCACCAGCAGAAGCCAGGAGAGAGGCCTGGAACAGATTCTCTCTCAGCGCCTCCAGAAGGAACCAGCCCTGCTGACACCTTGATTTTAGACTTCAGCCTCCTTATCTGTGAGGGAATACATTTCTGTTGTTTTAAGCCACTCAATTTGTGGTACTTGGTTCCGGCCGCCCTGGGGGAATGAATACACCAGCTTAATTCACACACCCCCACCCCGCCCCCAGCTCAGTCTACAAGATCAGTCCATGAAGTCAGCAAAGGCAAGGAAAAAAGCCACAATGCTTCTTTTCTAGTAAACCTTATCAACAAAAAAGAAAGCTCCATCTGGCATTATTCTTCTTTTTAGTGAATCTATTTTGGTTCCTAGCAATCATTTTTAAGAGCTCTCAACACAAAAGCCAGAGATTCATATCTACTTCTCTGAAATCTGCTCCCCTCTTGTGTTTCACGCCAGAGTATCTGCTTACGGGCTCATCTGTGTCTTTTTCTCTGAATGTTTAAAAAATTTTCTCCATCCCTAAGAGGTAGCTAGTGCATGCATGTGGGGAGGTGTTCTTTCCGTCCTCACACCCATGAACTCCATAGAGCCTACACACCCCCCTTGCACACACATTCTGTTGACCTAAATGCAGAACAGCAGCCACCTTCCTCCTCCTCCTCCAGAGAGACACAACTGTGAGGACTCTGCTCATACAGAACAAGCCCGGCAGCTGATGTGGGGCAGCCCACGTCTACCACCCACAGGGGACGTGGGCAGGAGCTGAGAGTTGTCCTTCAGGAAGGTTTATCCAGAGCTGCCATCAGGCCAAGGGGCCATGCCCAGCTCTTCTCTCCCGAAGTGCCCACACCTCTGCTTTGCAGGCTCCCCATCAGCAGCGCTCCCTGTCGGCCCCATTCCTTCATCAGAACTAAGTCTACGCTGCCCCAAGAGCATGTCATTCATGAGACACCAAGATGCACATACATGTATGAAATCACATTAATATCCTCTGGTTAAAAGGTCATCACTCATCAAACCTCACATCACCGACAGCCCCCAGGGCATCGTGCGGGATACACCAGACACGTGGATGAACCTTCTAGGCCTCGCTCTACCGGCTCTACAATCCTGGCCAATGGATTCACGTTCTGGGTTACGAACTGAAAGGACTGAACTGTCCTCACCACCCACCCCACCAACACGCCAGGAAGCAGCCTGTGTAGAGGGAACAGTAAGGGACCAGTGGTCAAGAAACCTAGGCTCCCACTGTCATCACCTCCCAGTGTCACCTTGGGCAAGCCACTTGGCTTCTCAGGGTCTCGGTTTCCTCACCCATGACTTGAAAGTCCAAATTGGAGAAAACCAAGGACCAGTGTTTATGGAGGCAGACTTCAAGGCCACACATGGGGACTGTTCTACAACAGGAAAAACAGCCACTTGCTAGAGGCATTACAGGGGACACACACGCTTGCTGCCCTCCCTCAAAAAGGAGGCAGTATCAGAGAAACTCACTTCGATGGGCCGGCCCAATTCTCCCCCAACAACTGAGTCACATAAAACACGGACCCGATCATTCCTCCCCTTCCAAAATCTCCCCCAGTCCCAAGAGGAGTATCCGCGTAGCTGCCAGTTCTGGTTCCACTTTTATGCCTTAGGGCAGTGACCTTTGAAAAGAGAACTCAGAATCATTAAGACATGAATTTAAGCCAAACTCATGAGGGAAAGAAGCTAGAAGAAACCAAAGGGGAAAAGATCTGACAAGCAGGCGCCAACAAGCTTTGGACCCGGGATGAAAGCAACAGTATTAACTGAAGAATTATTCCTAAACACGATCTCTTTTGGGACAAGGACAGAGAGGGCAAAGAAAGAGTTTTTCCAATCACTCTGCTATCCACAAGTAGATTTTCCTCCCAGGTTGTCAGCCTATCTATTGTACTGCAGGCCTCATGCATTTTTCACAAGTCTCTTAGAATCACCAAACTGCTAGAAGGGTGAGCGCCCTGTACCATTTTATCACCACTCAGAGGAAGAAAGGCCCAAACCGTCTCTGTGGCAAAGAGCAAACATGTTCCTTTAGAGGGCCTGCTGCTGGACATCTAGACAGGGTCCTGGAAGTTAGCAAGGCGGAGCCAGCTTTAAGCAGACTGAAAACAGGGAAAGGCGGAAACATCTAGCCCTGGGTCAGCAGGGCCAGGAGGCGGCCAAGACAACATCGACTGTTTGTTAGAGGGGAAAGAGGGGCAGGGACCAGCCAGATGCCCCCCCACCCAGGCCCATGGGATGAGGATGCCAAGAGGGGCACTGGGCCCTCTGCTGGGCTAGGGGGAGTCAAGCTTTCCCCACTGAGAATCTGAGCCCAATGAGAAGACCGAGATGAACAGCAGAGATCCCATTTCCTCTGCACTTCCATTTACGGACAGGAAATAGGCAGGAAGTGAGACACAGGGACTTGCTCTCATCTAATAGAAAATGCAGGCAGAAGTCCTGGGTTCAAATCCTGCCTCTGCCACTTACTCTATGTCTGCGAACAAGAAACTGCAGTTAATCTCTGAAATTCTGTTTCCTTGTGTGTAAAATGTGCATTTTGAATAAAGCCCCTCTCAGGGAGCTGCTGTGGGCAACAAGGAGATCACGGACATGAAAGGAGTTGGCAGGTATAAAAACAAAAGGGATTCTCATGGTCCTACAACACGTGGACTCTCGCGGCCAAACCTGACCCCAGGTCTCTGAGATCATCCTGCCCTGCCCCGTCCAGCAGACCGAGAGGCATGCCAGCTCTGCTCTCAGATGGCCACTGGACACAATGCCCACCCTGCGGCAGCCCGGGCTGCAGGGACGCCCCTCTGTGGAAAGCTCAGGTCCTGACCGGGAGCCCACTCGGCCAGCTGCAGCTGCCAGCCCGCGCTGTACAGGGACAGGAGAGACACCACTCGCGGTTCCCGCCCTCTCGATTCTCAGGAGGTAATGGGGGCTCTCGCCTACTCCCCCAAAACACTGCAGGGCCGTTTTTAGAAAGGGGTGATTCATTTTTTTAGGGATGCGTACTAAAATGGTTTACAGATTAAATATGATGTCTGGGATTTGCTTCAAAATAAGCAGGCACGGGGGTGGGGAGAGAAGTAGGTGAATGGAGACTGGTTATAAGTCGCTAACTCGTGAAGCTGGGTGACGGTACGTGGGAGCGTGCTGCAGCATTTTCTCCTCTCCAGTGTTTTTAAATTTCCCGTAACAAAAAGTTTGGGGGGCCACCTGGTGGCGCAGCGGTTAAGTGCGCGTGCTCCACTGCGGCGGCCTGCGGTTCACAGGTTCAGA